TGTTTCTAAGCTAAACTCTAAATTATATAAATCAATCATTTTTAATGTAAACATCAATAAGTTATACAAAATTATTGTTGAAGTATCACGCTATTCGAATTGCTTCAGAATGTATATTTGAGAATAATACATATTTTAAGGATTTAAAGTATTTTTAATAAAAGATGAATACAACCAGATTTAAAAAAATGATAAATAAGTAATTTATTTATAAAACTATTTGTTAATTCTGCAAAAATGTTGTAAAATGACATCTTCAAAACAGAGACTAGAAATTAATTTTATACATTTTAGTATATATGAGTAGAGATGATCTTATGAGATAAGCACTGGATTATTGAATTGACAAATAATTTAGTTTTTTTTATCTAGAAATATCAGAACTTACTTCCAAAATATAGTTATTGGAAGCTAAGCTTCAGAAAATTAAGTTTAAACTATTGTAAAGTTTCTTATAATTGTCTATATATCAAATAAGATATGCCGTAAAATTATAACCTTTTAAAAGTTTGGAAGTAAAGCTACGAAAAGAATTAAATAAAAGTATTAATGTTGTAATTTTAATAAGACTACTATACATATAATTGAATAGATTAGATTATAAGCCAGCTTAATTTACATAAATTAAATCACACAGGTTAATTTCTTGAACAAATTTTACTTAATTTTTTGATGTAATTAAGAGTCGATTTTATTTCAAATTAATTATATTAGGATTAATTTACAACTTTATCATCATATTATAATAATCAATAAGGATTACTATATGTTGATTTATTTGTTATTGTCTTGTCTAATTTAATTTAAAACTAATTATAATCAAAGTAATGATTAATTTCATGGCCAATCTATTTATTATGCTAATTTTATTAAGGATCTTTTTAATACTACGATGAAAATTTGCTCATTAGCTTTTATTATCAATAGGTCCAAAAGAAAAATAGATTATTTATAATATGGATTAGAGATAGTTTATAGCCCTAAATTTGACACTTTGAAGTAAAGAATTAGACCTCCATAACCAATAAATATCCAAATCATCCTGATCTGATTTTGCTGAAGCATTTAAGTTAAACTAATTTGAATTTATATTTTAATATTTTAATAGATTACAGATAACTCATTTTAGTGAGCATCTAGAGACTCTATTTTTTTTTCTAAAACCCAATAGTTGATTTTAAGTTTTTTTGTTTCAAAAGCTCAAGAAAAATTGAAAATACTTAAGAATAAACTACTTTAAATGTTGTATTTTAACAGATTAAATAATCACGTCAAATATCATTTCATTTTTTTAAAAGCCAAATAAGTATTTTCTGGTTATTTTTGCATCACTATTAATAAAACATACATTATTTACAAGATTGGATAGTAAACTCTATTTCATCTTCTCTCTAAGCCCCTAATATTTTATTAAATAATATGCAATCCTTGTATTAGATGAAGGAAAAGATAATTTCCAATATTATTTAGATTCTAGTAACACATAACAAAATTTAATATTAATTGAAAGTAGTTTTGGAATTGTGCCCATATTTTTTATTAAGTTTATTTCACAGATGTAATTTTTTGAACCTTCAAAATTTAAATTAATTAATTCTTATTTACGATCCTTAATTTTCAAAAATAAAAAAAGTTCCAGATTGAAAAAAAAATAAATAAATGAAGATGAATACAAAATATTCTAATTTTCTAATGATGAACATCCATCAATATATAAATTACATTTAATAAACTGATATATTAATTTGAAATTTATGAAACTAATTTTAATTAATTTATTGGTTAATTAAATTATTGAAAGAATCAACTCTATTTTAAATAAAGGATAAATTCGCGAATATCTTAATATCCATAATTCTAAACTTTAAGTTATTTGGTATAGCAAGTTTATAATAACACTTTATTAAGATTACATATAACTGATTTAAAAAATAGGAAATTTTCAATATATCGAATAAAAAATCAATTAAAATAAGTAAATTGCCATTCAATAATCAATCAAAATAGGGTCCCCACTTTTTTTCAACCTTTTCTTCAGACTATCATAGAATAATAGTATAAATTAAAAAACCAAATTAATCAAAAAGACCGACATAAAAGTCTTTGAATATATATTTATCCCTATAATAATGGATGAATAAGAAACAAAAGCCTTATGTAATTTATTTATAAAAATTATGATGAACTTCAATA